CAGTCAAAACACCTCTTCACATCATAGAATGGTCTTAAAATGGTACACAGAGATAGCACAGCAAGACGACATTAAATCTGTTACAACTTCAAAGTACGCTGATGGTTATTTACAGGCTTAGCAGAGTGACTTCAGGGAAAGCAGATCATTGACCAAAACAAGTAATGATATGTGCTCCAATTGCAGTATTCTCATGCAAATATTGATGTTGAAAAAGCCTCAGAGAACCCAGAAGTAAGGAAACTCACATAGAAAACTTCACCAACAACCCCTTCCCAATGCAAGAACTTAGAGGAGAACTTGATTTAAGGTGAGCAGCGGTCTAAATGGCAAATGCAGGGCAGCAAATACATTTATTTACACCAGAAGCACAAACCCAAAATCTATTCAGTGTCACTCACCACAAGACTCAAAATCAGTATCAAAGAACTGTAACAGAAAGAACAGAAGGGATCTCAAGGAGTTTAGTAGTGACTGGAAAATGTGAATGCAGTAACATAGAGCCATGGAGTAAAATTTTTTACTTGGAAAGATGCAGGACAAAACAGAGTATCAGTACAGGAAAAAAATCCAAGATCCTCTCAAGCATCTCTCCAATACGGCTGTTCACTAAAGGTGGTTCTTTTATTTCGGTAATTCTATAACTATGTTTGTAAACAAATGTCTTAACTGAAAAGCATTAACGAGATACAGTACTTAAACACAAGAAGCAAGCCTGAGACCAATATCATCCTACAGTAAAATACTTTCTTGTACTTAAAATTTTATCACAGACTCCAAAATGCATTAGGAGAAAGACTTTGCATCTTATGAGTCCTAGAAAATTTTCCAGGAGACTATTTTCCAACATAAGAACTACCACATCTAACAAAGCCTGAAAAGTTTTACCACAAGGTCGTGAATTTCTTCAGAGAACCATTTTAATCTTGTATTACCCTAGCCTACCCGGGAAAAATGGAACCAAGCCATCGCTTAAGGTTTTTCATAGCATTTTTCCATATTAATACAGTTAATAGGACTACAGAAATCCTTTTGTCTCAATTTAATGTAGATTTTATTTTACCACTTCATAAATATTAACCCATACATGGGAACAAATCTAAGAGAAGCTGGGAACTAAGAAATAGCCTAATATTGCAATATATTCCCTTCCCCCATCTTACGTAATTTCACCAGTACTCCACTGTTTTAAAAATCACATTGCAATCAGATGCAAGTTGTTTGGGAACAAAAGGAAAGGGAAGGGAACAGAGAGTCAAAAGAGAGCTTTATTTTAAAAATTTCTGTAATTACATCTGATCCATGGGGTGGATGATACTCGTTAACCATTGAACTTCCTGCCTGATAATCCAGAATTCTTCAACTCTATTACTGAGCCACAGGAATCCTGACTTGGGGATCTTCTTCTAGGACACTCAGGCCTCCAATCTTCAACTGGTCTACACACTATTTATGTCCAAAATTGTACCATTCATGGAAATAGAATACTGTAGATTAAAAGGTCCAATAATGTATTCTCTGCCAGTTCAGCCCCTGACCTGCTCAGTGGTGGCTAAAAACATTCAGCAGCTGCATGGCGCAGTTGCACTGTGAGCAACCGGTGTGACGTTCTGGCCATATCGGAAGGTGACTGCTCAAAGAAACTTTCTTGGATAAATATATAGATATCATTTTAAGAAGAACTGCGTAAAAAGCAGAACAAGCATACTAGCAGCCTTATTAAAAAACAAATACTTCAACAAAATAGTCTATCAATGCCTTGGACCTCCTCAGAGCATGCAACATAACCAAGATGATCTGATGCAGAAGGGAGGAGCTGTTACTGTAAATGGCTCAGTCACTGGTATATATGATCACCTATTACCAATGCTTTAAAAACTGATGTTTGACTATTACTTTACAACCACAAAAAAGTTAAAATCCAGAAGAAATGTCTACAATTTGCATTCCAAGAAAGTACCCATGTAGAACAAGGCTTTAATGCTTGCTGTTGGATATCTATACCTCCAGTCTAGGAGTCATGTATTTAAAACCAAAACGTCCAGCTATGTCCTCATGTGCACAATATTAATGCATCAGTCTTGGATTGTAATACGAATACAACAGTTCATTGCACAGATCCCCAATTGCTCCAACCATGTCTTGTACAGAACACTAAGTTTTACTCCAAGCAGAACACTGTCAAACTCCTTAAATCGACATCATAAAGTCACTGGTTCTTATACATCCCAATTCATCAGCTATTCCTCCTCAATCAGCAAGAAGGCAGACAGCTGTACAGTACAAACCAGTAGTACTGCGTTTCCATCAAAAATCAAATACAAATGTCAGCTTAGGTGTTTCCACTGCTCACAATCTGTGACTAGAAGGAGGAGAATTTTCAAAGATTTCCAAAATCCTGGGACTTTACTGTAAATAAGTATAGCATGCATGTGTTCTTCATAAGACACTGCTTATATAAAGAAGTGATGCTGTGCCTAGCCTCCATTTCTAAATGTCCTAGGACAAATAATTTGCAAAGAAAATTACAAGCCGGGGATAAAAAACAGTGGTTAGCTCTTGAGCTCCTTCCTTTTCTTTCCTTCATTTAATTTGCTTACCTGACATCAGCTTAACAAGTTACCTACAGCCTGTCATTCTTCCACACTAATATCATTAAGGGAAGGGAGCCTCTAACATCTCTATTAAACTGGAATAAAGCAAACATGTAATGCCTCTAAGGCAACCAGGCATTACTGAAATTACTTAATCCGCAAAGTCAGTACTTACTCACCCTACTTTACCACTACCAATCATTTCACAAGTGTAGTAGCATTATCCAGACACATTTCGAAGCTTAGTTTTAAAATTTGTTTCTGGTGTACTATTTCAGTGAGGGTAAAGTGGAACTACAGAATTAATGTCAACCCGATTTTCAATTGCATTACATTTGGCCACTTCTAAACCAAATATACACAGGAAAAGAAATATAAAATAAAAACCCTTGCAATTCATTTATTAAATTATTACTCTCCCAACGCAGAGCATTACTTACCTGCTATTATGTGTATTCTAAATATATACGTATAGGCTTTCTTCTCCCCAGCCCCTGCCCCAGTAATTCTCATACTGGGCCACACTTAATTACCTAAGCACATTGGTATGTATAGGTTTCTGGAAGACTAAAACGTATATTCTACCAAATCACAGTCATATCAGATAAGTCATTAAGTCTAAGCAAGGGAAGAAAAGGAGCTTTTGTGGAAAAAAAAAATTATAATACTCCCACTACAATTTATTCAATATCCATTATTTAAGAATGAAAACTAGATGCATCGTGAGAATCTTATATTCTTGATGCAATCATTTCCAAATAACAGCACAGGCCCAACAGAAGAGACACCACATTATAATAAATAATACAAATGTATAGTGGCTACTGATGCTAGCTCCCAGTTTTACAGCATTTAATCTTCATATTTTAATAGTTTGCTGGCTACTTTAATACATTGACTCATGTATGAGCTTTGTTTAATCCATGTGTACAAAGTTCACTTTTTTTTAAACCTTACTACAAGTGGCTGAACCCAAAGTTTCTTAGCAATGACCTCTTTCAGAACTGGGACGCTTTTGGCCATTATAGTCAGATCTGTTTCTTAAGTGCCCTAGTTAACTAAATGCATTCTTTTTACAAGTTTTGAAGTATGTAGGTTGTAGACTAGACAAGGGGTGTTAAATTGCAGCGTCTCAACATGAACAAATCATCCCAAACTTTTAAATATTTCCAAAAAGTAGAGCAAGTAATCAGAACCTATCATTCAAGCTGGTGATGTGATAGCCTTTAAGATAATTCAGAGGACAGAGGCAGTGTTTTCCAACTCACCCATTTGCTTCCCTCAAACTTAATATTCTCTTTGTTTGGCCAGCAGATGTAGATGATAAACTCAAGTTGGCAAAGGGGAGGGGGGGGGGAAAGACAGACAAACATCTAACAAAAGGAGAGGGAGGGTTTTGTTATTTGTTCCTTTCAGAAGACTGAATCATCATGGCCACCTGTAGTGTAGGCCACAATAAAGCTGAAATGGTTTTTCCTTCACAACCATCACTTCAATGAGGCTCACAATTTTTGGCTATATTTGAAAACTAGCTGAAAACACTGCAGATTTTTAGCACGCTTTGAGGGAAAAAAAAAAAAGAAAACACTGCACCTCTTACTCTAGATTTCATGAACTTTGTATCTTTCCACATTATTAACAGATACATTCGGTTACGTGTAAATATTCAGCAAATTTCTGTCAACGTTCAGTACTCTGAAATTGTATCATAATATTCAAAAAGCAATGACACATTTACAAATAAAAGATACCACATTTATGAGATCTAAAAAACACAGAAGAGAGACACCCTTAGGTACTCAGGTCTAAACAAAGTTGAGGCTAACAGGGGTTACAACGGAGATTTGGTGACAGATTGATTATTCTAAATGTTCTGTGGATTCTCCTGACCCTTTCCACAAAAATCTGCTACCTGGCTCAAAATTGCTGCTAACCTAGCTTCTAACTGGTTTCATCGGCAGAGCAAGTCCCCTATCTCTAACAAAAAATGAAGAGGAAAAACCCAAGTACAGCCAAGACCACAAAGCCATGTTATCACTGCCCATAGTCACTAAGCAACAGTTCCACAAATATGCAAACCTAAAAAAGGGAGAATTTTAGTCTATTGGAAGATATACTGTAAACATGAGATAGCCAGGTAACTAAATGACAAACTATTATCTGACAGCCTTGAAAACCTCTCCATGCGAACTGCTTTTAAGCCAAATTGTAATAAATACCACATGCGGCTAAATTTAAAAAAAAAAAATCCTAAGCCAAGTTAAATAGTAACCAACGGTCAAATTTAACCATATAAAGTCTACATTAAAATCCAAAATGACAATTACAAAATATTATATTACTATGAACACTGTCAAATGCTTTGAATAATAGTACACTAAGGAAATAAGTAAAAACATACTTTACCTTGTATCTCATTTTGGGGCATGAATGAATGTAGAAACCCATATAATAAAAACAGAGATCAGGAGCTTTTTCATGAAGTTGCCTAGTAAAAGCAATTTCCCTGTGAAAGGAAAGAAGAGACTAATTACTTTTGAATACAATTCTTACATTCATTTTACCTCCTCATATTGAAATATTTTACAGCTACCTGGCTCTTGACCTATTTAAAGCACTAGACTTCTATCAAATAAAAAATAAATATAACAAACTCAAAACTGATGCTTTAAAAAAACCCCAAAGATAATAAACTGAAAATTAATGCTTAAAAACAAACAAACAAATCATCAAAATGCAAAACACTGTGTCAGGCTTAAAAATACTTTCATTTTTGTGTTTTGTCCTGCCAATTGACTGACTGGAAATTCAAATAAAAGTGATTAAGAGCCTCTTCTTAACAGGTTTCTTGTTAATATTCATGTACATTGGAATTCTACAGAAATCTGGCCCAGCTATTTTACACAGACTGGATAACGTGGCTCAGGAAAACATCAGAGTATTTTTAAAAAAACAAGATTCAAGGATAAGCCTCTTGTTTGTTCTCTTATTTGCATTCTAGCAATTTACACGTAAAAACATCCATCTTTATGCAACAAAAGGTGTTCTTCACCTATCCCATGTTTGTTTGTACAATTTTCTCATTTATTCTGAAAGATGTGTCAATGGATTCCAGAATACCTTTGCTTTTTATTTTACTGGCACAAGGAAAATAGTATTATTACAAAGATTCTGCCAGTGTTTCCACTATAGCGCTCACTTTTACAGCATTTGTAACTTTGCAGTTCATATTTGTACCAAATTCGATAAAATATGGATGTTGCTTCTTACTTTCAATGTCAAAAGGATAAGAGGATATAAGCACGTGCATATAGGAAGCATGTACAAATACTGGGGTTTTTTTTTATCACTTAATATTAAGCTAGTAATGAAGATGTTTACATACACTGAAAACCTAACATTTCAGTTGCACGTAGTTTGCCAAGACCATCATGGCTCCATGATAACTCTATCAATATACATCTGTTCCGAGAGGAGAATGTCTACAAATAAGTTACTCCATATCTGAAAATCCAGGTAAATACAACAGATTCCAGAAATGAGATTTATATACTCCCAAAAATCTACAAACATGCACTTCATAGATATAATCTTTAAGACACGGCATAAAGTTAAACAACCGTACTGTTTCATGCAGATTATCCTGGACTTAATTAAACAAATACCTTTCTGCAATTCAAAAAGCTGGAACACTA